CCCCAGTGAGCGAAATAAAGGGTTCAGTTCGACATTCCAACCACCCGAAGAAGGCTGGAGCGTACAACGGCCGAAACGCTGTAATAAATATGGCGACAAAGATGGGAACAGTTTACATTTAAAGGGATTTATGAAGAATCTGCTACTTTTTTTTAGAGAGAGAGGCCGATAATGACTGATTTATATTCCTTGAAGAAAGAAAAAGGGAAAGGATTATCCACTCCTTCTTAAAGATTAAAGAATTTAGCATCCTATTTAAAATATCAAATGACAAAAATTTGACTTAGACATGGAAAGCATGTGTTTAGTGCTTCCAGCTTTTTAACGATAAAGCTTTTTTAAATATAAAAATAATTAATAAATTATTCTTCTGTTAACTTGGGGCGTAGCTGGCAAGATGGCGAATCGATTGAGAAACTCGGCAGTAAGTAATTATGAATGAAACTAATAAAGTTTTCAACGGATCAAAAAGAATTCTGAGTCTAGAGAAATTGATGTAAGTAGTTTTTGTCTGGTTCTACGTTTATTTGGCGTCTTCCTTCAGGATGTAGTTGATCATATCCCTCCACAACTTCCTATCCTCTGTAGCTTTTACTAATGTTTGTCTCCTTACCATCCTTCTCATTCGCTGTTTTTCCTATCCATTTGCGCAAACTCGCAAGATGGGTTTCCGTTTGCTCTCCTTCCAACCAAAGCACAATACCAGTGTCAAATTCTTCAAGCTTCATTTTCACATTATGCCTTCCAGAAATTTCAACATTCACTTTCTGATTTTCAGCACTTGTCCTTTTGTTTACATTTTCCTTAAAACATCCACGTTGATCACATTTTCCGTCTATGGTATTCACAACAACCTTTTATCGAACCACATCTCTGTTGCTTCAAGTTTCTTCTTGATCGATGGGGAAATTGTCCAACACATACTACCATATAGAGGGATTGATATTACGTAGCAGTTTAGAGCTCTTTTTTTCGGTTCTAATTAAATTTTAGCTGAAAGCAATATTTCATTATTTCTCTTGACGATAACTGCCTGTGTCTGTAATCAACATGCTAAGAAGCAGAAGCGCCGTAAAGGGCTGTCCTGGAATTTTTACGTCAGCAATTCGGCTTTTCAGTTGATTACGCGTGATTATTTCAGTTCGTCCGAGTAAAAATAGAAAAGAAGAAATATTTAATTTTCAGCCACAAATCACTGAGCTGCTTGTGATATTCGTCTCGGATTTCAATGTTTTCTCTACGAGGAACATCATTACAAAGACATAGATGTGTATATTGTATCGTTCTGGTCTCTTCATAGTAGACAGGAGCAGTAGAAAGAAAGAAAGAAAGAAAGAAAGAAAGAAAAGGAAAGAAAGAAAAAGAAATATGCAAGCGAAGAAAAATCAACCGATGGAAGGCTAATATAAAACAAAAAGAACAAAAGAACAAGTGAATAATGACGGTAAGAAAGAAGAAAAAGTTATCAGATAAGACAGAAGAAAAAAGAATGAAGAATACGGGAATAAAGAGAGAAAAGAGAAGAAATAAAAAAGAAGAAAATTGTTTGAGAAAAAGAAAGAGACCAAGAAAAAAAATGACAATTGAAGCATAAAAACGTATCAAAGATGACAAAAAAATTAACAAAAATACTGAAAACATTGAAGAAAAATAACAAGTAGTTAAAAATATACAAGAAACAAGGAATACGTGACACAAACGAAGAGAAAAGAAGAAGAAGGAGAAAAGAAATAGAGGAGCGAAAGAAAGAAAGAAAGAAAGAAAGAAAGAAAGAAAGAAACGAAAGAAAGAAAGAGAACGAGAAGGAAATTCAGTATTAGACGCAAGATGACATCAATTATGTTGGGTGTCGTTAAAATGGGAGTTATACTTGGTGATTAAGTAGGGACAGTATGGTGAATTGGTGTGGGGTACGGCGTGTGGGTGGTTGAGTGGTTTAGGGTAGACGGTAAGGAAGAGGGAGATTCGCATAGTCACATTTGTAAATGTCATCTTGTTCTCTTTACATATCACGTGGTAATAATGACATTCAAAGAGTGGCGGGTACATAAGTGACAAAGCCTGCAGATGCACAGAGAGAGAAAGAGAGAGAGAGAGGGAGAGAGAGAGAAGGGGGAAGAGAGAAAGGGGAGAGATTGAAAAAAGAGGAACAAGGAGCTGGGACAGGGTGTTTCAGGATGAAGACACAGAGAAGTGTCTTTCTATCATTTCAAGAAGTTGAAACAATGAAATGATGAACAAGCAAAAAAAAAAGAAGCATTTACAATTTTATTGCTGACGAATTCTTTAGATATATTATTCAATTTCTTTCTCTAATTCTGTCTGTCTGTATATTTCTCCCTCCCCCGCCTCTCTCTCTCTCTCTCTCTATATATATATATATATATATATATATATATATACGTATGTATGTATATATGTATGTATACGTTTCCGTGTGCCTATGTGTTTCTCTGCTTGTGTATGATGTTTAAAATCTGCTTTGTTCATAGAGGAAAAGTACTCAAAATCTAAGATAAGCGTTTATAGATACAGGCAGTTTGGATATATAAATCATTACTGCATGCTGACTGTCAGTTTCACAGCAATGAAGGGGATCTCTCACACACACAAACACTCCACACACACACACACACACACACACACACACACACACACACACACATACACACACACACACACACACACACATATATATATATATATATATATATATATATATATATAACAGAATGGGTAAATATAGGTAGGTATATAAGCGACCGATCGTATACAAATATATATACATGCTCTATAGTGTAAGAAAAACAGTGCTCAATATTGAATAACAGAGCTATATATATATATATATATATATATATATATATATATATATATATATATATATATATATTATAAATTAATTGATTTAAAATATGGTTTTTTTCGCTACAGTTCTAACCATGTTTCAAAAATGGAAGCTAAAAGCCACGAATTTAATTTTGAACTGTGTAGCGAAAAAAAAAAAAATTAAATCAATTAATTTATAATATTAATGCTCTGTAAATTTACATTTAGCACTATTTTGTAAAAATAAAAATATCTATAAGAACACCGGATTATATATCTTGCTGTTCTTTTCTTTTTTTTTATATATATATATATATATATATATATATATATATATTAATCATGACTATGTATTTACCTATATATATATATATATATATATATATATATATATATATATATATAATAATAGCTCTGTTATTCAATATTGAGCACTGTTTTTTCTTACAGAGCTATTAATATATATATATATATATATATATATATATATATATATATATATATATATATATTAATAGCTCTGTTATTCAATATTGACCAGTTTTTTCTTACATAATATATATATATATATATATATATATATATATATATATATATATATATACCTACCTATATTTACCCATTCTGTTATATATATATATATATATATATATATATATATATATGTGTGTGTGTGTGTGTGTGTGTGTGTGTGTGTGTGCTATATTTATAGAGTAAGAATGCTCGGTATATCGGAGATTTAGTATTTATAGAAATAGACAGTATGAACATAGAAATCAGGATTGGTTTGCGACTGTCAGTTTCATGCCTATGTATTTACCTATGCGATCCCCCACCCCACCTCCGGCCATTTAGACGAGATGCGACACAAAGTCAGGTTTCATGTGAGGAACCCGAGCTCGTACACTCGGGCTGCTGATTCAAAATTTACACATTCTCTGCAACCGTGGGGAACGAGCACTTCCATTGTCTGTTCTATTCAGCCGAGACTATCTATAGACATAGCCCCCGACTGAGTCACCCTCTATCTGAAGTCATAGGTCTTGTCAGTCGCAAACCAGACAGTGAAATGACTGATTCCAACCGGTTTCATGACTATGTCACAATTTATTTCGTCAGCTCTATATATAGACCACTGGAAGATTAAAAGAAGAAAAAAGAAAAAAAGCAGGAATAAAAAACTCGTAACTTGTCCTATTTCCTTGATTTAATGACATTGTTTTATGACATTTATCTTCATATGATATTATTGATTTATTTGTATCAATTTTTTTTTTGGCGGGGGGCTCTAAATTATGATATTTGAAATAAGGCTAATAATGATTTTCTTTAGTATTTTTGGACATGATGTAGTGTTAGCTAGCGTAGTATGAACTTGTTTTCGTGTCGGTTCTAGTCTATTTTCTAGAATGTTGAGGCTCGCTATTTTTTCCTCTAAGCAAAGGTTACAGGTTTTGAGGTGTTTGACCAACTGGCGCCGTTTTTCTTATTTTCCATGTTATTTTTGGTGGAATTTCCTTAGTCTTTTCACCTTTTTGACACATTAGAAGGTTGTATTATTTGCATATTTTTATTATTATATAATGTTTTGTTTGAGTACCTTCTCTCTTTTCTGTGATCATCTATTATTACTATCTCTCTCTCTTTCTCTCTCTATCTCTCTCTCTCTCTCCACATATAAATTGGCATCTTCCGACAGAGCCTCAGACTCAATAAGAAAGTCAATTTCAAGTGCCTTGAGGGGGTAGTGCTGTCCTGGGTCAAGAGTGCGGCTGTTGCAAGACGCTATGTTTGGCAGCAGGACACTGCATCATACCACACAAGCAGGAGAACCCAGTCATGGCTCTCAGACAATTTCTGCGACCACATCACCCCTTACATCTGGCCACATACCCCACCGCCCGCATATTGCAACCCCCTTGTTTATTATGTGTGGGGCGCAGTTTTTTTTTCGAGAGAACAACAAAACAAAGATGAACTGAAGCCAAGGTTTATGGCAGCATTCACCAACTTAAACAAAGAGACCACCCAGAAGAGTTGCAGGAGATTTCGAAGTCGTCTGGAGTCCGAGGATGAAGCCAATAGTAATTTTATTGAATAAATTTACTCTTTATATTTCAAGATATTTTTATGTAATTTTGGTAAATACATCTGTTAAAATGAGATGTCAGTGTTAGTCACATTTTTGCGTAATTTAGACGACAATTTCTCCAACACACTCTGTATATATAACACGCAAGGCGTTACAGAGAGTGAAAGTAAGAGAAAAGAGGTGTGTTTGAGGGGGAGATAAAGAGAAGTACGATGATCAAGAGCAAAGCATCAGAAGATGACGATTGGCATTACATTTAAATTTTTGAAGATTATTATTATTATCAGGGAAGTAAGTAAGGGAAGTGCGAGGGAAGCTGTTAGAGTAGAAGAGGTAGTTACATTTAACTGTTTCAACAGTAAAAAAATGGGACCGAGATACCAACCTAGTATCACGCTTAAATTCATGCAGTTGAAGCACCAGTGAAAATAACTTGTTAGAGGAGTTACCATGAAAATATTTGTAGGAAAGACAAAGGGAAGCCACATCACGTCTGTGAGAAAGTGACTGGAGTCGAGATGCCAGATCAGGACATATCACATTGCATATCCGTCTCTGGATTTTGTCGAGAACCTTGAGATAAACAGCGAGGCCACCAGACCATATATGGCAACAGTATTCCATGCAAGGACGAATGGTTGATTTGTAGATTTGAAAGATGGACTCAGACGAGAAAAACCTTCTGGTGCGACACAGAGAACCAAATTCTTTTGCAGTAAATGTAGCTATTGATTCAATGTAGTTGTTCCACTCCAGGTCAGTGGGACACGTGAGACCTGAGAGAGATGCTTTAGTGAAGTTGAGCATCAGCCATGCTGATAGGAGGCAGGGAAGTTTCTCTATTCTAGGTAAATGAGAACAGTTTCGTTTTGGTGGCATTAAAATTTATAAGCCATCCCTTGCCAAAGTCAACCACAGATTGGAGGCCCTTATCGAGACAGGTTAAATTTGTTAGCAATGCCGGATTTTCTATTGAGACAGCAGTAAATTTTAGTGTCGTCTGCGTAGATGCGCACTTGACAATTAATGGCATCAGAAAAATCGTTGATGAAGAGCAGAAACAGTGTAGGCCCAGGATAGAGCCTTTGGGAACACAAGCGTTCGTATGAAAGAAACTGGAGGAGTTTGACGTTTTTATTTCTTCAAACATTATTACATTGGGTACATTGTATTTGAAATAGACGTCGCAATAAACGTAATACGCACAGTTTAATAAATAAAAACGGGGCGACTATTTCAAATACGAATAATAACGTTTGACGTAATATATATATATATATATATATATATATATATATATATATATATATATATATTAATTTGCTTATTACTGCAAATTATATTTTAAATTAATGCTATTTTCATATATGCACATATGATATAAATTGTTTGAAACAGCGATCTTTATGCTACCAAGGTTTCTACCAAAATGTTTTCCTTCTGGTAGAGACCCTGGTAGAATAAAGATCGCTGTTTTAAATATTTTATACACCGGGCAGAAAAACTTACCGCCAGATGAAACCATTCTTTTAGAAACCGTGGAAGCATAAATGTCGGTGTTTCAAATAATTTTTTTTTATCTTCAATTGCCCAAAATTTTCGTTTTTAAAATTTGTATTGAGTGCTCTATTTATTTATCCTTTCCTTTTGGCAAATATCACTTTTGCCAGAGATTGAATCTATAAAATATATATATATATATATATATATATATATATATATATATATATATAGGCAGTGGAGAACTTTCAGAGGGAAAATTAACAGGAGATAACTGATAACTGACATCCATTAAACATGGCACGTGGAACTAGAACAGTCTACCCCAGTGAGCGAAATAAAGGGTTCAATTCGACATTCCAAACACTTGAAGAAGGCCGGAGCTTACAACGGCCGAAACGTTGTAATAAATATGGCGACAAAGATGAGGACATTAGTCCGAATTATGTAAAAATGTATATATATATATATATATATATATATATATATATATATATATATATATATATATATGCGTATATTGCTTTTTAATCCGAAACCAGATGAATCAGCCAAATGAAAATAAATATTCAACATCCTCTCTTGTATGCACCGTAGGCAATAACTGGTGGGATATATGGAAGTTTTGCAATTTTCTGTTTTCTTAACATGTATATGATGGGGTACTGAAAATTTGTACAAGCCAACCAAGATGCTTTTCTTTAGGAAACAAAACTTATTCTGAGGGCCAAGCAAATAACTTCTCAGCACCCGCTTCTCACATGTAACTCATGAATTTTC